ATCATTTAATATCTCAAATAGCAATCTTGCCCCTCTCCAAGTGAGGCAAGCGAGACAGCTTCTCAAGCCCCAGAGAAATAAACCCAATTCTTATGCTTCTTTCTTCCTGCATTTCTCTCCATCTTTTCAATGGCATCTTATTATACTCCCCGTTCTTGATTTGCAGATTTGGATATTATTTAAGACCTTCTTATTATGGAAGATGAGGACTTAGCTATTTTATACACCCCCAAGTATCTTTCTATAAAGCAAATATTTCCCTAATCCCCCAGCTTTAGAGCCAGAACCCAGCCACTCAGCACAATGACAGCTGAAGCACCGACAGCCCTTGACCACAGATTCCCACTGAGCCTGTTCTGGAAGTCCGTGTACCCTGCAGCTGCATTCTCCCAAGATCGTGTTAAAATTCTCCCTGTCTAGCTATGAAGATGCTAATAACATTCAGAAGTGATTTTAGAGCTCTGTGGCAGTAAATAAACCACCAGGCTTCAATGGATCAAAGCCTACAAAATAGGAATTTAGAAAATTGTTCATGAAATGACCATAAAACCCAGAGCCTCTCTAGTTCCATACAGTCCATTTTCTCTACTCATTCTCTCCCCATCTCCGTTGAGCCCGTTCCCCAAGGGCTCCAAACCCTCTGGCCCCAGAGGCTTCGACTGAAGGGATCTGGGTGAAGTCAGCCCCAGGTTGGGGAGCAAATCAGCTCGGCCCCTCCGAGGCACCACACTGCTCATCTCTCGAGTTCATCGGGGCCTTCTCCACAAGATACACTAGAGCACATTCCCCTCACAAGACAAAAGCAATGAGAGGGAACAGAATTGAGGGTCTTTCTATGCCATCCCTCTCAAGGATCCCTGGTTCTGAAGAGAGAAAGCCATCTGCCAGGGGCATGGACCAGAGCATGCTGACTCTCGGCGATGCCTCCAAATGCCCACTGCAGACTGCTAGCCTATATTCTTTGCATGACTCATAAATCTGCATCATGTGACTCAGGCATCGGAATCCACACCCCACCCCACCCCACCCCTGTCCATATTTAATGCCTGGCCAGCTAGGTATTTCTGTTCACCTGGATGGATCACAGTAACTGAGGTCTGCTAGGGAGGAGCGATGATGGGGCTGGGTGGGAGGTGACAAGGAGCGTTAACAGCCAAAGGGTGAGACTGGGTGATATGCTCAAACCTCACCTCCCAGTTGTGGACGAGAAAACATGGCAAGAAAAATATGACATAAAGCTACTGAGAATCCCTCAAAACCACCACCTGAAATGGCAACCCACTCCAGTATTGCCTGGGAAATGCCATGGACAGAGGAGCCTGGCAGGCTATAGTCCATGGGGGTGCAATGAGTTGGACATGACTGAAGCGACTAAGTATGCAGGATAACAAGCCAATGAACACTTTGGCCACCTGATGCAAAGAGCCGACTCACTGGAACACATGGATACATGTTATATGTTGGAGGATGATGTGGAGGAGGGGGCAACCCCAACCCCCCCCACCCCCCGTGGAGAAATTGTTGGGCTTGGGTGCTCAAAAAGCATGGGCTGATGCTTTTTGAAAGCCAACTCTTTCCCTGATATTGGGAAAGACTGAAGGCAAGAGGAGAAGGGGGCGGCAGAGGATGAAATGATTAGATAGTATCACTGACTCAATGGACATGAGTTTGAGCAAACTCTTGGAGATAGTGAAGGTCAGCGAAGTCTAATGTGCTGCAGTCCATGGGGTTGCAAAGTGCTGGACGTGACTTAGTGACTGAACAACAGTGATGAATAAAATATGAAACTCTGTGATTGTTGCACAGTATATTTGGGTTCAGATCACCCATTTATTGAGCACCTATACAGCCAAGCTTTATAGGGTTGCAGAGACTATAATGATGAACAACCTGCTTTGAGCTAAGTAAAGTCACTCGTTCAGCAGACAAAATGTGAAAGTCAAAAAAGAGGCAGGCTTTTAAGTAGCAAGAGAGGGATAAACAAGAATGCTATAGGATTTGCAAGAAGAGAAAACAATCATAATTGGTTGAGGGTGACACAGTAAGACACATGGATGGATAAACAGTCCAAGACCCAGAAAATCAGAGCAGTTGCTAATCTGGAGTCTTGCGGTGGCTCCATGGCAAAGATGTGGACACACACCAGGCTGGTGGCAGGAGGGGCGTGGGAGGACTGTAAAGGCAACTAAAAACGCGTGGACAGTTACGTGTGTGTCTGCACGTGCCTGCACACATTCTGAGCTGGATGCTAATCTCACATGGAGGACTTTCAATATGGTTCTACCATCCTAAGAAGTTGGGGGGACAGGCTGGTTTAGGGGCTGGTAGTCAGGAAACTGTGAGCAGAGACAGCCCATGCTTTTTGAGCACCAAAGCCCAACAATTTCTCCACCGGGGGCGGGGTGGTGGGGTGGTGGTTTGGGGTTGCCCCCTCCTCCACGTCATCCTCCAACATATAACATGCATCCATGTGTTGTTCAGTGTCCTATTTTCCTCCTGGTCCCAGGGAATGCCTTGAAATTGAGGGAAACCCTTGGCTCCAGCAGCACAAACAGATCTTCTCCTGGTTCCTAAGTTATGCCTCTGAAGGTTTTCTCCTATACACACTGTTCTCTTAGAAATTCTCCTTCTGGCTTATCCTAAGTTGTAAGAGGGTCTATCACCATTTACACTCTTTCTAATCATCTGTCCTACCAATATCAGTTTTAGAATGAGACAAACCTTGGGAAGCCGTAGCCTCTATAGGAGTTAATCTGGCTGCCCACTTCCACGGCTCCAGCTTTTAGAGACATCCCTGACTTCTTAGGACAAAAAGTCTCATGACAGGGAACTTGTGAACAAACAGGAAACCTGGTGCGTCAGCCCCTGACGACCCTCCCATCCTCACATGGGACGTTGCTAATGGTCACTGGCCTCATGGCTGGGATTGTCTTGGAGAAGGGAGGTACTGTTATTAAGAGGCCCCCGTGGGTAAACCAGTGGAATGAAGGTAAGGGCTGTGTACGGCAGGGCCCACAGGGAATACAACAAAGTTGTGCTTCTCTCGCCGTGAGTTTCCAAGTGCCTGGAAACAGCGGGGCAGTTCCTACATGTCCTTCCAGGCATTTGGCATTACCCAGAACAGCACACCGATTCCCTGTGGATTAAAGGACAAAGCCAGCAGGGATGCCGGCTTCTATGGCCCCGGTCCCTCTCGCCCGCTCCTGCTTCCATAAATCAGGCTGGCAGGTAGCTGGGAAGCAGCTGTGGATGACAGCGTTGCTCTGGAGCACAGGAAGCCACCTTTTAACCCGCCTGCTCTTGTTTGTCTCTCAAACGTGACAAAGGAACAGATGTAAGCAACATGCCAACTGTTGAGAGGATCTGCCTGGAGCGCTATAGGAAGCCTGCTCAGAGTGCATCACACCAGCCGCTCCAGAGAGGCACAACCGAGTTCATTTCCTGACACCCCCCCCCACCGCCACTGACAAGCATTCTGCTCATGTCAGGTTGGGGTCTGCAATGCTTAGACAACTCACCACGTACAGCCCTGCTGCCACCTTCACCCCCGCCCGGAAGCCCCCTCCCACACCCTGTTCCAACACCACCAAAGTCCAGTCCAGCCTCAGCACCCAGGGGTCTTCTCTGAACCCCATGCTCCATCCTGGGCCAGAGCATTTAACAATCTGTGCTGGTTTCTAAGCCTCTCACAGGGCCACTTCCTCCCTGTCCAAACCATCCGGTTACCTCCATGAGGGATGGAGCCGGGTTCACCCACCTCTGTCTCCCAGAGTTGCGTCTTTCAAATCACTAGTTGTAGGATGAATGGGTCAGGAATCACGTTTACAGAGTTGCAATTAATATTTAAAACACTAAATTAAAAAAAGCTTATAAAAGACACTTTTGGGACAACTAAGGAATTATTGGGGAACTATTAGAGGATATTATGAAATTCCTATTAATTTTCTTAGGTCCAGTAATGATGTTGTGTAGGAGAATATCTTATTTTTTAAGAGATGCATGCTCAAGTATTTAGAGGCGACTTACTTTCAACTGGATCAACAGAAAAAATACCTGTGTGCAAGCTGACACATATGCAGAGATAAAGCCAGTAGGGTAAAATGTTATGACTGCTGACTCTAGATGTAGAGTAAACAGGCTTTCACTGTACAAGTCTTTAAATTTTCCTGTGTGCTTGAAAAGTTTAATAATGAAACAGAAGAAAATAAAAAAGAAGAGACAAAAATCAGAATGCAGGGCATGAAATATGATCTGGTTCGGGGTGTCTATTGGATGTGTACCCCATGTTACAGTTTAAATGTATTTCCTCCTTTGCGTCAAGGCCAAGACTCCGAAATGCTGCCCTACAGCTCCTCACTGTTCCAAGCACAGAGCAGGTGCACTCTGAACTGTTTAACTTCTAGAAGCACAGAATTTTAGTGAAGGGGCAAGCTGAGAACTCGTTTATTCTCCAGTTACATCCCATTAACGCCAGCTATGTCAAAATATCCAAGCCATTTCCTGCCTTAGCACATTTGGCTCTAACCTCAACTCAGCCTTCAGCACTCTTATCAGATGTTTAATTACTCATCAGGAAGGCTGCTCCCCTGCCCCCTCCATGCCAGGGAGGTGGTTAGTGGAAGACTGCAAGAGTAGGGCGCCAGTTGTCCCAGTGTGCCGGGGACTGAAGCATGTCTTTGTGGGACTAAGGACTTTCAGCGCTAAAATTAGGACAGTCCCAGGCAAACCAGGATGGCTGTTCACCCTAAACGTGAAGGAAGACTGGGAGAGGGCCTTGGACAGATCCAGGAGAGCTGAAACTGTATGCCTTGTAGCATCATGGGAACATGAGGGGCTAGAGCAAATCCAGGGCAGTGAAATTATGATGCGACAGAGATCTCCCTGACAACATCCCAACAGCAACAGCAAATGCCAAATTGCCAAGTGTCTCTCATGGCCCTGAACAGAACCTCTGATTATTCACCAACTCATGTGGAAAGAAAAAGACCATGGGAACTTACTGTAAAAACGTCATCATCACCAAGCTCAGCCTCATTGTGGATGGTGGAAGATGATGTTGTTGAGCCTAAAAAAGACACAAAAACCACAAAAAAGTGTTTCCAAAGAGGATAAGTCAAAGCCAGTCATTTAAAGAAACCACATCCTAGTCCTTTCACATGTAGATCACCAGCAGAAATGTTACTTGGAAATTAAATGCTTTAATTTTTAAATATAATTTATTTATTCATTTATGGCTGCACTGGGTCTTTTTTACTACATGTGGGCTTTCTCTAGCTGTGGCGAGCAGGGGCCTAGTCTTGGTTGCGATGCACGGGCTTCTCACTGTGGTGGCTTTTCCTGTGCAGCACAGACTCTAGGCACATGGGCTTCAGTATTTGTGGTGCTCGGGCTCAGACGCTCCATGGCATGTGGAATCTTCCCGGACCAGGGACAGAACCCGTGTCCCTTGCATTATCAGGCACATTCTTAACCACAGTACCCACTAGGGAAGTCCTTACATACTTTTAACTTGCTCTTCTTTAATTGATTCTAGCCAGCATGTTCCCTAAATGAACTTTGCTTACTGTTGTTTCCAAATCGATCCCTCAAACGTCCTCACTGATCCGTGGAGAACAAGCACACACAGAGGCGCCCAGGAGCCGGTGCTCAGAGGGCCTACCCACAGCTCTGAAGGATGTGCATCACTCTCTCCACCAGTGACCCCCGCCTCCACTGTGTAGTGGGAAAAGCACTGGACGGAGGACCCCAGGTTAGACCTGCCACAATCGCACTGTGAAACTGGACTTAGATCTCTGGGCTTTTCTTTTACCCACAAAGGGACATGACTAAATAGCTAGTATGGTCGCCTCCTCTTCTGAAATTTAGACCCTATACACTCCAGACTGTGGGAGAAGCCACCTTCTAAACTGATACCTGGGTAAAAAGGTTTTTTTCTTGCAATACTGGCAGTGAGTTTGCAGGTCAACATTTAGGATAATGTCAAAAAAAAGAAAACCAGTTTATTTTCAGGGAATGAAAGGGTTATTTACAGTTCAACTGATTTATTTGTTCATCTCTTTCTTCATTCTGGTAGGCAAATCATGTAACTTCTTCCTTTCCCTCCTAGTAGCACCCCATTTATGTGGATCAAATTAACTAACCCTGTTAATGGCCAAAAAGGGAAACCATACTTAAATTTGCATAAGTGATAGATTACCAAAAGAGAAATTCAGTCTATATCATCTCCTTTTTCTTGGCTAGGCCTTATGAAATGCACATTTAGAAAGTATTTTGCTATTACATAAAACTGAACTCAAAAGACTTGCTCAGAAAGGGATGAGAAATATTTAAATTCCTAATGAAGGCTCACAGGAGGAAAAACAAGTCCCATAATACCCTGTGTGCAGTTCCTATTGCTCTTTGAGACTCTTAGATCTCTACTATTTGAGTCACTCTAGTCTATCAATGTTTAAGGCAAGTTTGATAGAACAGAGCTAGGTAGAATGTATGAGAAAAAATTAAAAGTAAGGGAACCAAATTTTGTGTGTGGCTTCAGTGATTAAGCACATGGACATAGTACAAACTTCTCTCAGTAATACAGGAGTGGGCTTCCCTGATGGCCCAGAGGCTAAGACTCTGTGCTCCCAATGCAGGGGGGCCGGGTTTGATCCCTGGTAAGGGAACTAGATCCCACAAGCTGAAACTAAAGATTTCACATGCTGTAAGACACAACACAGCCAAATAAATAAATAAATTAAAAGAAAATAATACAGGAGCTATTTTCTCATCTAAGCATTTAAAAGCTATGTTTAATAATAAGATTTTAAATATTATCCACTTGTGTCAGACTTCTGGTGTAAACACTGGTTTCTACTCATTTTGTCCATCCTCGTGGTTGTAGTTCTCAGATTCATTGTTCCAGCTAGAATTGTCCCTCTGATGATTTTAAGAGAATTTTTTTCTTTTGAGATCTGCTTTTCTCTCTTCCCCCAAATAAAGAAAATGACTTTAGAAAACATTTCTCTTTTATACACATGAAATACATATTCTTCTGTGATTAATCTAACCAAATTCTGAATATGGCTTTACTATGCCTTGCTTGATATTTCTTTGTTCATAGGTTGGCTAGGACACCTTAAAACCTCTGATTTGATAACTGAATGTGTCGAAATGGAGAATTTCTGTGTTTGCATCTGCGGACACTAGAAAAACCCCTGAGAACTGACTGCCCAAGAGCCTTTCAGTCCATGGTTAAATGCCACACAGCATCTACCAGCTGCTCACTCACAGACTAAGGAGTCACAGATTCCTTCTTTCCAGTGGCAGCCGTACCCCTGGGCCCATTAGAATCCATTCTTCACCTCTGGACCAAGACAGGTTGCACCCAAGTTTTTTTCTCAGGAAAAGGTGAAATATATCAAAAAGTCATTTACATGGACGTCTAGAACTTATCTTTCCAGAGCAGTCTAAAAACCAGTTGGAATCACTCATTATTCTGAAATCCATCTCCTTCTCCACTGCACTGTCACTTACAATATTTTTCTCTTGGATGTTCCTAAAGTTTTGGCCTCTACCAACCTGGCCCTCAACCCTCCTGCAAATAATCCACAAATATGTGATGGCAGACAATTGGAATTAAAAAGAACCTGGAAACTTCCCACAGCCCCACTGGGAATGCAGTGATAAATTCAATACCTTCTATTAGGTCTTCGATTGCTTTCCTCACTCCCCTGTCAAAGGCTCGAGCATCAGCAGGGCTTTGGAAAGTAAGTCCAAACTTCCTATTGTCGACCTTCCAATGATGAAAGGTTGGGTTGGCTTTGGTGTAGACCAAGTCCTTTCTCACATAGCATTCCAATACCACCTGGAGGATTGAAATACACAGGTGGGTTACTTTTTAAATAGTCATGATGGTGTCTGGTTACAAAAATCTAACTAGGAATGACTGTTTTTGATGGCAACTGATGAAAACCCTCCCCTCTGCCTTCATGCATCTGTGAAGGCTTCTTAGAGGAAGGCTTTGCCTGCCTCTGTTGAGCATCCACTCCTTGCTGCTCCCCCCACCTCCACCTTGGTGGTCCTTGCTGTATTGCTCTGCTCCTTAACCATGCCCTACATTTTACTCATTTTCCTTTCTCCAGCCCCTAGCTGGGGGTGGAGGGGTGGAGTGGGGTAGGGTGGGGCTAAGGTGAGGCCCAGTCTTGGGGCTTTGCTCTATTCTAAGTTGACTGCTTTTCCATCAAGGCCTTTGTATTCATGACTCTCAATCCTCCTCCTCCTGTCCTAATGCTGTTTCTGAGTGACCTCAAATTCAACAAGCTGAGAAAATAACTAACCTGCTCTGAAATTGCTGCCCTTAGTTTCCTATGCCAACTTCTCATCTAGCAATGCCCACCTCTGTTAATTTTCTCCGGCTCGAATCTCCATGGTTTCCTTTTGCCTCTTCTACTTGTTCTATCCTCTGTATATGTTAAACACCAAGTACATTTCATTTTCCCAGTATCAACTCTGGTTCAATTGCTACCATCCTGATCTAAGGTCTCTAATAAACCTTTTATCTGGATTATGAGAACATTCTCCAAATTTCTAGCAATCTAGTCTCAGAACTGCCTTTTCACTAGGCTATGACTTGGAGGAGATTATCTCAGACTTTTGATCTTTTTATCTCTAAAGCGGAAATAACACCATTGATAACCCATTATCGATGAGAACACATACACGAACAGGCTCTGAAGACATTGGACAGTGAGAAACCTAAAGAGCTGCACACACTTCCCAGGACATTGCATCATGTTTTTTACTCTTTCACTTCAGTTTTTATCACCTTCACAATTTAGTACTTGATTTCATATTATCTTCTAAGAGTTTCATGTGCTTTTAAGTCTTGTTCCTTTAACTAGACTGTAAAAAGATCAAGATGTCTTATAAAATAACTCCCTCTGTGTACAGAGTGCTACTGCTGGCAAAGATATCAGAGTTCAATATTACAGAATAAAAAAGGCATTGAAATCATGTGAATGTAAACTCCGTTCTTTATTCATAGATAGCTCCAAAATATCACTAATATTTATTTCTATAGTTTCATTATGTATATATCAAAATGATTTCACTAAGTTTTACCAGCTTTGATCTTGTTCAGCATTTAATGAGTTCTACATTGAATGAAATGAGATACTATTAGTTTCAGACTAAGTGAAAGAGTGAAATTAATAAAAATTAGAGAATATCTTCAAATGAATAAAATTTCAAGAATATATCTAAGCAAACAGAAATTAAGCATTGCCTAATAAATGTTCTCTAACTTAATAGATGAGAATAATAGTCAAATTGGCCTATCCAAGCATTGCAAGCAGTTAACTTTATTCCATTGTGTTGAAGGAAGGCAATGGTCCCCTCACACAATTCTATTTATGATTAAATTGCTTATTATGGCCATTTCCCCCTAAGAATAGCGCAATGATTAAATGTCAGCCCAGCCCCATTCCAAATTGGGGAAATCCAAATAACCAAGGCTTTAGCTAACAAATGTTATCTATTTTAGAATTTAATAGTCTCAATGCAAAATCTCAAAATAAACTTTTTTGTAAAAACAAACATTTCCAGTTTCTCCATATTTTTATGGCAAAAAAATTAGTCCTTGGTTGACATTTTCTGAGTTTAAGATTATTCCAAAGATACATTTTCCTAGAGAAGTGTAATAAATTCTTAGAAAAGTAAAGTTTAGCCACCTAAATTATGTGGGAGGAGGGATGGAGAGGAGACCAGATACCATCTCTTTATCCTCTTCAACAAAATTATATCATTATATATCTATGTAAGTTTAATGACAAAAATGATGACATTCAAATGCTATAAAATGTTCGTAACAGGTATAACTGCTTAGTGAAGTTTTGGCATAATAGGTATTAATCCTCTAAAATGAAGTTTGGGAATTTGACTAAAACTTGAGAAAGGTTTTTAAAAACAGCTTTTCAAATTAGATGCATGGGGAGAAAAATAAGTGATTATATATTCTTGTTGAAGATATTTCATCCCTCATTTGAAGTATTAACATTCTCAGAGTGGTACATACTATTGCCTTCTGAACTCTATCTGTTGCATTTGACAATAAAAAATTACACTCATCTTCACCTGAGTTCATAGAGTTCGCTTTATTTTGAAGCACCAGCTTTCATTAAAGTCTAAGCACATGCAAGAAAAAGGAAATATAGTTCCTAATAAGCACTCTTGGATGAAAGAGAGGTTTTTAACAATATTTCTTTGTCTTGTCCCTTCCAGCAAATACCATTTTGCTGTTTCACAATCCATGATGAAAGCAAATAACCTTCTAGGTGATGAACCAAAGAATACATTTTGTGAAACTTGTGGTCATTTAGTTGGATTAAAATGAAATAGTCAGTGGTGTTCCTTAATTTTTCTCTTCCATTTTTTAAAACCATACCAGCCTGTGAAGCAGAGAAGGAAATGGCAACCCATTCCAGTATTCTTGCCTAGAGAATCCTGTGGACAGAGGAGCCTGGTGGGCTGCCGTCTATGGGGTCGCACAGAATTGGACACGACTGAAGCGACTTAGCATGCATGCGTGCATGGGAGAAGGAAACAGCAACCAACTCTAGTGTTCCTGCCTGGAGAATCCCAGGGACAGAGGAGCCTGGTGGGCTACCGTCTATGGGGTCACACAGAGTCGGACACAACTGAAGCGACTTAGCAGCAGCAGCAGCAGCAGCCTGTGAAGAGGCCTTCCCAGGTGGCGCTAGTGGTAAAGAACCTGCCTGCCAGTGCAGGAGACAGAGGAAACATGGGTTCGATCCCTGGGTCAGGAAGATCCCCTGGAGAAGGGCATGGCAACCTACTCCAGTATTCTTGCCTGGAGAATCCCATGGACAGAGGAGCCTGGAGGGCTACACTCTATAGGGTCTCAAAAAGAAATCCGTACTATAGAAGGTTCAATATAGCAGAGTCCATGAAGGTTCCATTCTTGCTCAGCTCTCTGTCTATCCCCTCAACACCTCTCTATCTCCAGAGCTGCCCACTGACAGTATGGGCACTACCTTAGTTCCCTCCCTGCAGTTTCTTTATGTACTCACATAAGTCTGTGTGAGTCTGTTTAAATGTAGCCATACCTTTACACTGGTCTTCAATTTGCCTTTTCTTCAAAAACATGTCTCAGAGACACAGGAAGGTAAAAAAGGGCTCTGTTTAGTGGCTGCGTAATATTCCTCAGAAGAGATACATGAGAATTGTTCTGCCATTCTCTATATTAATGGGCATTCAAGGTCATTTCTAACTGGTCACTTTTAAAGACAATGCTGAAATGAACATTCTTGAGCATGTTCTTAAAGTTTGGTATTTGGGCTCTTGGGAGCCTTCCCTCTACAACCCCAGGTCCTTTTAGGGGGTTCAGGATGGCAGAACTATTTTCATATGTTAATGCAATTTTTGCTTTTTCATTGGGCTGCCAGCTCTGCTAATGCTGCAAAAGGAACGGTGGGTAAAACTGCTGTGCTGAGGCTCAATCAAGGCCTGGCCGTGGCACCAAACATCCAAAGCCACTGGATTCACCACTGGCACACACAGAGGAAAAAAAGCCAGTTTTATGTAGGGTTGTCCTTGATGAAGCAGTTAAAAACGACTGAAATCCTGACCCATGAATACACATCTTTCATTCTGTGTGATGAAATGGATGTACATGTAACTGGATTCTCCTGTCCGTGTCCACACTTGATCTGCTGTAATATGTTGCTTTGGTTGAAGTACAAGAAGAAACTCTGGCTTTGCACAAATGCATAGCTGGAAGAGTATCTCTCACAGCCTTTTTACTTCTGCTGCACATGGAAGAGTGACGACTATCTCAAGGAAAAACGTGAGTAACTGTTGCCGTTGAGAGTTGAACTAACTGCTTTTCTCATGGATCATCAGGTTTACTTGAAAGAACAACCTACAGATGAACTATGGTTATTCAGACTTGGGTACTTTTTTTGAAGATGAACACAGTGAGCCCTGTCACCTCAAGGAAAGCAAGGATATATTTGTTGACAATAATAAAATTTGAACTTTCAAGTGAAAATTAGAATTTTGGACAGCTTGTCAATACTTAAAAAGACTTTTCTAATGACAGTGGTAATATTAAGAAATGTGATTTTTTTTTTATACTGTAGAATTAAGTGTATCAACATTTGGAAGCTCTGTGTAACTCAGTAAACCATTATTTTCCAAATGACCAATGCATGATGTTATAAAATCAGGAATGAGTAAAAGATTGATGCAAAGAGAAAGGTAAATCAGTGGATTTTAATGTAATTAGAGTCTGTAAGGTTTCAGAGTCCACATTTAACAAACTACTACAAACTGAGTTTTGGTTTAGATCGAAGTGTTAATATATCAATGATGATTTGAAAAGGCTATTAAAACAGTTCTACATTTTCCAACTGCATATCTGCGTGAGGCTGGATCTTCTTCATACACTTCAGTCAAAACAACATATTACAATAGACTGAAAGCAAGAGTAGATATTATAATCCAGCTATCTTCTACTAGGTTAGATATTAGAGAGCTCTGCAGAAATGCAAAGCAATGCTATTCTTCTAATCACTCTTTTTCCTGGAAAATACCTATATAGTTATTTGCCAGAAGCAATGTCATTTATGCTAACCCTACTGTTTAAGATTCTTAACAATTTCAGTTTTAATTGCTAGTGTGGAAAACAGTAGTAGCTTATAGCCTATCAGACAAAAGCATTTTGGGGTCCCCAATAAACTTTTAGAGAGTAAAAGGATTCTGAGGCCAAAAATGTCTGAGAACTGTAGCTATCTATAAAGCTCCGTAAGTCTATTTCCATAGGATAGGGTTTAGATGCAGAACTGCCAAGTGAAAAGGAATACACATTTAAAATTAATATCCTGCCAAATTGCCTTTCAAATAGTTTTGCCAGCTGGAACTCCCACTAAATGTGTGTGGGAGTGCTCACAGACCTGCACTGGAATGATCAACCTTTTAGATTCTGTGATTAATCTTCATAAGGTAGTTTTTCTCATAGGATTCATTTAAGAGGTAAAAGCATCTAATCCATCAAAATAAGATTCAACTCAGCAATTTTTAATTTGCATATAACTTCTCAGGAAAACTTGACTGTCTCCAACTTACAAAAAGTAACAACTCTGTGAATGAATACTTGGAACACAGACTTTTCCCATAGAAACAATGGCATCAACACAAGTTCACAGGTGTCAAGAGAAAATTCAAATAACAATAACAAAAACCAATGTGCTGAATTCTAGAACTGCACTACCTTGGAAAATCTATTGACAACACGGTTTCTACTAGAGAAACTACTTCATGTCCTGGTTGGAATACTGAGAACTCTAATACTATCCATTCTCTGTATTCCAAAAATGATCTCCACCTTCTCCTTGCCTTTCCACTACCGAGGGCGGGAGGTGTCCTTCAACAACCTGTCCTGTTTGCACAGCTCCCAGGAGTATTCATACCCTCCAGTGGGAAGAAGTGCTGCATTATGGAAGCCTGGAGGCCAAAGGAGGAGTCATCATTTCACCAAAAGTGTGTGTGTGTGTGTTTTAGGAGTCCAGAATTTACCAGCACATGAAACTGGTAAAGTGAGGGATGGAAAGATGAAGGAGCACACCTAGGTGTATGGGGGTCTGACTTGAACTCCTTGTGATATAATTTATAAAAGTCCCAAAGTGCAGAGTCACAGAACGTAAAGGGGACAAGAAGAGGGAGGGAGTGAGGAGAAACACAACAGGAGGGGATGAAGCTCACAATCCTCGTGCAACAGCAACACACAACAGAAGCTGGTCCACAGCCAGGACTGCCCTCTTCCCATGCCGAGTTGGTATGAAGGGACCAAGATTTAGCTTCACAGTGAAATGGTCCAAGAGCTGTCTCTAATGATTATGTGCCCTAAGATGGGGGAAGTGGATTCTTTCCTGGAGCACTGAGTTTCCCCACTACAAACTGGAAATAATAGTATCCTCCTCCTTTAGAATGTGGCAGGAATATAACTGAGATTATTTACATAAAGGGCCTTAAATGAAATTGTAGAAGTTTACAATTATTATGCTCAAGCCAGTGATAAGAAACAAGTTTATAAATGTATCTATAAAATGAAGGGGCTGAATTATTAATTAATAATTATTAAATGAAGGGGCTGACATATTCTAATGACAAACCATAGAAATACCAGGAAAAAACAGACCTAAAAATATATAACTGTTCAGGGAAGATAATCTGCTAACATAAAGTAGTTAACGATAAAAATAAAAAGGAAAAAGTGAAAAAAAATTTTCTATCAAAATTTTTGTAGGAAAACAATGCCAACTAAAATAAAAAAGGCAAGCAACAGATTATAAAAATATCTGTAGTAAAAATGACAGATGAAGATGATTATCTTTGTTATACTTGGAGGGCATACATATCAAGGAGAATAATCAGGCCCCAAAAGGTAAATATGCAAAGGACACTGACAGATAATTCAGTGTTTAAGAGAAAAACATTTGATTTAAGAAAAAACATTTGCTGACCAAAAATAAGATACCACGGTTATCCTAATCAAATTGGTAAAGATTTAAAATATCTGAGCCTCAATGTGTTAAAGAAAATTCTCGTATATGCTGGTAGCAGCTCTTTGTATAAGTATAAAAAGCCATAAAAATTTGACCTCCCCCTAAATTATTCCAAGTAGACAGCAGTGTGGAAAATGCAGGTAGATAATACAGGGGTAAGAGGGAAAGAGACAATCTTAATATTTAACACTAAGGAGATCATCAAATAAACAATGGAACATCAACCTGATACCAGCAACATGGAAATTTCTTATGAGATATATAAAAGTGTTTATGAGCTCTGATTACAGCTAGGTAAAAGTAAAAATATGCACAAAGGGAAAAAACTATACCAAAGGGTTAAAGGTGGCTGTGCACATGTGACTTTGGCCCAGTTTGGGTTCAGGGTATTAGTCACTCAGTCATGTCCGACTCTGTGAATCCATGGACTGTAGCCCCCCAGGCCCCTCTGTCCATGGAATTCTCCAGGCAAGAATACTGGAGTGGGGAGCCATTCCCTTCTCCAGGGGATCTTCCCGACCGAGGGATCGAACCTAGGGTCAGGGTGAGAGGGAATCAAATACTCGTTTCAGGTCCCCTGATAGGACCTAGAACAAGGAGTCTTTCTGAATCTTAGTTTCTTCAGATATAACTATACAAGCTGCTGTAAAGATACAATGATGTACCTTAACTGAAGGGCTAGAATTGTACTTAGCCCCTAGGAAAATGCTGGATAAAGGGTATTTTACTTTTTTTTGGTTAGTGTATAATGCCTTCATTGTGAATATCTAATAAACAAGAATGTTTTAACTATTTGACTATTATGTAAGGAATTTCTTGAATGGCCACATTTCTTAAAATAGTCTCCCTTTAAATTTTCGTTTCATTTTCAGAAATGAATCAAATGTGAAAACACCATTTCTGTTAATCCATATATAATGTTTAGAAATTGTTCTGCCTTATCTATTTTGTAACCTTTATAAACCCTAAGAAGTGGTGGCAAAAGAAGATTAAATTTGTATACCTAGCACATAAAACTCAACAGATGCCACTCTTAAGGGTCTCAAATGTACCAGACATATTCCTGTGGTGTCTCTGTATTTTCTCTGTTGGGGTCCTGCACATTTTGAATCAATGGTTGGCTCTGGAGTATACATTTCAGAATCAAATACATGGAGGACCATGTTCTTCCAGGTCCAAGGCCTCCAATTAAAAGTAGACTTAGACCCTCAATTTTCCTTCATATCATAGATTCCTTCATAACAGAACTGGACATTCAATTCCTTCATGAAAATGTATGTTATAAACTATCAATGCCCCCATCCTTGTGAGGTCATGAGTATTCTCTAAAGTGCATATTTTTAAGCATACAGAATTATCACAGAAGTGTAATGCCACTGCTTTCCATTACTTTCTTTCCCCAAATATGTTTTATTCATTAGCTGATGAAATAGAAGCTGCAGTATCTTTAAGATAAACATTAATTTAGAAGTAACAAAATTATCAGGGTGACTGCCTCTTTGCATTCTACCTCTCTCCAGCCTGACCTTGATGGCATGCTCCATGAATAAACCCAATGTTTAAAAAAACTCTGACTTCACAGATCACTACAATGTAATACATAATAAAGAACATACTTCTGTTTTGAACATCTTGTTACAGTGAGAGAAAGACAGCTTAATTAATCAAAGACGCAAATATGACCGCCAAATGCACCACTTCCAAGCATCTGAGTTATATGGTGTGTAGTAGAAAGTGACTTCACTGGAAAGCCTGGGTTAGGTTTTGCAATTTGGTGCCAGCTCTGGGAGTTCTATCTTTGGAAGCTCTTGCAAGATTTTGAAGTCAGAGAAAGAAGGGGAGAAATACCTACAGGAAAAGGACTATGATTTTAACATCAAGAAATCAGTCGTTACTATTTAACCCACGCATTGACATCTGCCATTACCAGTTTGTCTTTCTGTCGTTCACCATGGATGAGAAAGCCGCTTCGTCCATTGCCTTCGGGGTGCATGACCTTACAGACCCCCACGCGACTGATCCCGCCTCCTTCCTGTGGGAACCATCCCCCGCTGGAGTCATCTCTGGTCATAACCACAGCCTTGACACGCACAATATAGCTGTCACTAAAAAGACAACAACAAGAAGAATGGGGCATGACAATGGTCTGGAGCTGAAGGATGTGTTTCACAGAGCAAGGTGACCACAGCCAGCATTTTTGGGACTCATCAAAAGAAAATCTATGCCTGGCAACAAACTTGAAAGGTAACCCATATCAGTGTTCAGGGAAAAACCCAAACTCTTAAACTCAGTATAAAATTTAATTTAAAAAAAGAAAGATGCCCAGTTGTTAAAAAATATCTGTGAGTCTTTGAGGATGTATGCAAGCACACTTTCCAGTATCCAGGCAGAAGTATTAACAATAAAATGAAAGAACTGCTGTCTACAGTTTAGTATCTTTAAGTTAGGAAAGACAAATCTATTAACAGAAGAGGACATTATAGTTTCAACCCTAAAAACTTGGTTTGTAATGAATGAACATGGTTTAACATTTTATAAAGCTAATAATCTGATTTAGCATAAGAAGAAAATAACCCACTCCCAAATCACAAGTTCACCGTGGGATCATATACAGGTGGGAAAATATTTCAATTCCAAAATCCTTTACACATGTAAGCCTTCTGTTTATGACTTTATTTTTTCCAGTCTAAACTTCAATTTCGCAATAAGTTCTTCTGCACATTGGCCAAAAATCCTCTTTCTCCTCCAGAGACCAACTCTAGCTTCTTTTCATTCTCCATCACTTTTCGGGAAATTTACAAAGCCATTAAATTCTCTCCTGCTGTTTTCTTTCTTGTTATAACATTCCTTTTTTAAATCCTTCAAACATATATTCCCAACTTCTATATGCGAGGTGGGTACCAGGTTCTAAGGAAACAAAAATGCAGAGTAACACAGAACCCTCTCTTTCTACCCCCCAGACCCAGTGCTCAGAGCTTTGCCAAGCACCCTGCAATCTGCCAGAGACCACTCAGACCGCCCCTCTGCCCCACGTTCCTCACCTCACTCACCCCTAAAGGTAAAGCCTCCCAGGTCCCCCACCACCGCCTGCAGCTCGTCCACAACTGTGACCCAACTCCCCTCCCCTGGGACTCCAGAGCCAATATCCCCTTTGCTTCCTCAGTCCTCCCTTCCACACTTGTTTTTATTGTGGTAAAACACACATAATGGAACATTTACCATTTGAGCCATTTTAAGGGTGTCACTTTGTGGCATTAAGCACATTCGCACTGTTCTGCGGCCATCACCAGAACACCAACCATCCATTTCCGTAACTTTTTTCATGGAAACTCAGACTGTGCCCATTCAACAGTAACTCCCCATTCTCCTCTCTCCCAGCCTCTGACAACCACCATCATATTCCCCATCTCTATGAATCTGACTACTCCAGGTATCTCATGTAAGTTCCTTTCACTTAAAAAAAAATTAATTCTTTCTTTATTATACTTTGGCTATACTGGCTATTAGTTGCGACATGCAGGATTTAGTTCCCTGTCCAGGGATCGAACCTGGGACCCCTGCATTGGGAGCACGGAGTCTTAACCACTGGACCACCAGGGAAGTCCCTCCTTTCACTTTCTTAACCGAAATGAAACTGTGTTCTGGCAGAGTCACGTGGCCCACTCATGTGGCTGCCTTCCTTCCCCGCTGAGTCTAGATGGTGGGTGGGGGTATTCACCTCTACTGCAGGCTACAGGGCTCTCTCCAGTTCCTCTGAAGCTCACAAGTCTGACCATGGACCGCCCCCCACCCTGCATTTCTTCAATCTTCTTCAGATCTCTGGGTCACATCCCCTGGTTCCTTGGAGATATTAGCAAGTGGGCTGACTGTCCCTTCATCTCTTCATCATGACCTCTGGTATGATTCTTCATAATTGCTTTATTCACGCATAGTATCCTTCCAATCCGCTGACCTCTCAGTTTCTGGAACTCTTCTCCTTCGATAACCTTGTCTTAGCCACTCATGCCTAGGTCACTCTCTTGACCTTGTCAGTCTTCAGCATGCTACACCCCAGCCACCATTTCTCAATTGCAGTTCACTCTCTAGATTCCAATCATTTGTCACCCCACTGGGGCCAACGATCTCTTGTGCCGTATTCTCTACATGCTCATGTTCTCACTTGATTCTTTATCCAATTTAAATTCCACGGTCTGTTGCGATGCTCTCATGCAAAACCTAAACGTGTTTGCCTTCTCTTTGCTCAGTGAAGTTGCCTGGTGAAATCCTACCATCCACTTCGCTCCATACCTGCCCTCAGGCTGCCGCACATAGAGGGAAAGACCCCACTCTTCTCTGCTCATAGGTCTAGTTTTGACCACTAAACCCAAGTGTGTCCACCTAGCATCCTGCTACATGTCCCTGATCCATCCCCAAGAAAACTGCTTCACACGTTCTCTTGCCCTCACTCTCTCAGATGATGGAAGAGCTTGCTTTCATTTTACTAAGAAAATAGACACACTCTGAAGAGACCCTGCACTGGCACCCAAGAGCATGCCTACTGCTTGGTACCAGTATTTGCTGCCTCTCCCCCTTTAACTGTGGGTAAACCATCCCTGATCCAAGCTAGGGCTAACAACAATACTTAAATATTTTCTATGTGCAAACAGTGCCCTAGTTCACGTCTCTATACCCAGGCCTCTTCCCTAGGTTTCTGATGAGTAATGCCAACTGCCCATGAGATTTCTCTTTTTTTGCATCTAGCAGGCACCCCAATTAACACATTTTAAGGTTGAACTCATGATTCCCGACACCTCTGATCCTGCTAGTTCTTCCTTTGAAATATGTCCAGAGCACTTCTCGGACAATTACAACAGCCTTCTAACTGGTCTCTTTACCTCCACTCTTGTCCAGCTTTCTAAGCAAGTCGAAAGGTAACTCAGATTAAGACGGTCTATTCAAACCCTCCCATAGCTTCTTATATTACTCTCTGGGTAAAAGTCAAAATCTAGGGCTTATCTTACTGGCCTCCTTGCTCAACCCCACTTCAGTCCTGCTGTCCTTGCTGGTCCTCCACATTACACACCCTACCCCAGGGTGTGTACTTGCTGTTTCCTTCCCTTCTAACCCCATTTCCTACTCTTCTCTTCACACACCAACCAGGCTCATTTCCTTCTTTCATTCCCATCTCTGTCCCAGCTTACTTCATCAGAGAAGACTTCTCTGTCCGCTATGTATAAGGAGCACCCTCCATCCCTCTCTTAAATCTTCTCATCGTGCTTTGTCTCTCTCTGTTGTTCGGTTGCTCAGTCATGTCCGACATTTTGTGACCACATGGACTGCTGCACGCCAGGCTTCCCTGTTCCCTTCACCATCTCCCAGAGTTTGCTCAAGCTCAGGTCCATTAAGTTGGTGATGCCATCCAACTATCTTGTTCTCTGTCATCCTCTCCTCCCTTTCGTCTCTCTGCTGCTGCTGCTAAGTAGCTTCAGTCGTGTCCGACTCTGTGCGACCCCACAGACGGCAGCCCACTAGGCTCCCCTGTCCCTGGGATTCTCCAGGCAATAACACTGGAGTGGGTTGCCATTTCCTTCTCCAGTGCATGAAAGTGAAAAGTGAAAGTGCAGTCGCTCAGTCATGTCCGACTCTTAGCGACCCCATGGACTGTAGCCCACCAGGCTACTCCATCCATGGGATTTAACAGGCAAGGGTACTGGAGTGGGTTGCCATTGCCTTCTCCACTTTTGTCTCTCTATGTGCTACTAAAACAACATCTGCCTATTTGTCAGCCCATTCTGCCCAATTAGAATGTAAACCCTGTGCGGGCAGGGACTTTGCGCTTGTTTACTGCCGTATCCTGAGAACACAGAGTGATATCTGATACTTACTGGGTTCTGGAATGATGGAGTTAAACTGACAATATTTGTCAACAGGCTCAAAAAAAAAAAATATTTGTAGCTAACAAAATCTGAGAAAATTCAGTGTTCAATACTCATTTGCTTATGAGCCACAACAGCTTAACTGGGATAGGCTAAAGATTTCCTTTTTATTAATAGGAACACTGAATTTAAAGAGCCACACGGTTTCTATCATTAATCCACTCGCCTCAGGATTCAACATGCATATTCCTTTAGATCAGAGAGATTAAGAACATTTGTTTAGTTACATACAATTTGAAAATATGCTCCTCCTCCTTCCCCATTTATTCTAGAAAAATTAGGGGTTTCCAAGATGTGTCATTCTCCAGTATGAAACAGCTTTCTCAAATCTTCTATGAACATACTGCAGGAATCCCAACAGGAAATGGCCAAGATGAGTAACAGAAACTCTACACACCTTTTGCTAAAGCACACTTTTACTTCTTTGTTTGCAGCTGTGTGCTTTTCTCTCCTTTGAAGGGATTAAGTAAACTTGAAAAAGGGAAGTCTGCACTACTTATGTTAGTGCCATCAACTTATTTCCAAAAAGCATTAAAAAAAAATTATTCATAAAAAAAAAAAAAAAAACCACCCCAACCCTGCCTTCCGGAGTGGAGGGGCGGTGCGTTTTGGCCTTTGCTTGTGGTCTGACGCATCTTCTTTGCTGCTCTGACTTCTCTCATGCCCCTTCCCAAGGGCAGACCTCTCTCTGTGATGTGCTGTGTCTGTTGGGGGTGAGGTGGGGGAAAAGCCCCCATCTCCTCTGGCAACAACCCTAACAGCCAGCATTAACGGAGGCAACTGGCTATTTAAAACAAGGCAGGGGGATAAAGTGCTGCCCTAAAAGCTGCGAAGGATGTCTGGATAACCCAGCTGCATGGCTGCACGCCAACTGCTTCCTATCTGTGGTGTGTTTACGTTATCCAGACCCTCACCCCACCCGGAACAGAGAGGACAATGAACTCTCCTACCAGAAAGGTATAAAGAAGGCATGCTCCCTTCCCACCTTCCCTGCCTCCTTCTGGAAAGAATTAAACAACGTGTTTAGACCCGATGTGGGGTTTATTTGTGGGGCGAGGGATGCAGCAGGAAAGCAAAAGTAGATTCATTTCTTCATTTGTACAAGGAAAAAGCTGCTGGTATGCTCAAGAAATTGTTCCCAAAACGCTATTGTCAAAAACCACCACCACCTCATGCTTCTGAAAGTTTCA